TATTTAAATGCCATTTACCTATGAAACTCAACACTATTCCAATATATTATGGTAGATGGATATAAAATACTCAGAAGACAAAGCTCCACAAGAAGTGTTAAGTCAGGCAAGTTGCCAGTGTTATTTCAGCTGCAGATGCATCTTAAAAATCTTTCTGCTCCATCAGGACATGCAAATTTCTGCTGACTTCTTACAAATACTTCAAATGTTTTTTAAATAAGTAAATGGCAATAAACAGAGATTTGGAGAGACATAAAAAGAAAAAGCTGTAGGATAGTACAACTCTGTAGTGATATATTGGCCTTCTCCAATCTTTCAAACTTAAAAAAAAAATGAGTATCAGGTTCCATTTAGGAATAATTCATTGAGATGCAACAACTGCACTACAAGGTATAGGTAAAGAAGTGGGGGTGGGGGTGGGGGAATCCATGAGCTTTTTGCATTTGCTTGGAGCTACATCTAAATTATTTGGTATTTTAGTAAACAGTGTTATGTAGTCATCTATATCAAAAAAGGGGGAGGAAAGGCAATCATGAAACCATATAATGATCCTGTCTTGACATAAATAACTCTCCTCAAGAGATAAAGCTTTTCATTGGTACTTTAACACTGACTAAAAGCAAACTCTTGTGAGGCAAACCGCACACACATTTGTATTCCCCCGTCATAGAAACTATGAGTTAACAATAAGTCACGTATAAGTTTGAAGAAGCTAGTTCAAATATCTGTACAAAAATATAAAATCTAGAAATTCTTTTTTTTTTTTTAGCCTGTGTTGATTCTTGGAAACATCACATGCACAATAATACAATTGGAAAAGTGGCAACTAAGGAATTAAATATTTGTAGTTGTTTTTACATATATACATATTACAATAAAAATAATTTTATTTCGATTGGTTGGTTGGAAGTATACTACAAGCTAAATTTTTTAATTCCCAAAGTCAAAATCTATTTTATCAATAGCTTACTAAAATCCAAATATATTAAAATTTCTACGATAAATGCAGAAAAGAAAAAGGATTTATAGTCTTCTAGATGGCCAACTTATCTACTATGAACAAACTAGAGGATCAGCAAAATAATAATGTATGAATGCTCCTTCTGTAGATAATTGGACCCAAAGAGAGAGAAAGAAATTCACAGTTCAGTAAGATCCCTAACCCTGACCTTTAAGTTTTTTTTCTTTTTATACATTCAATACAGTATCATGTAAGCTGTGCAAAACTTTACTTAAACTGGCAGTTTGCCATTTCAGTTGCATTTGTCTTTGGTACAAAAATAAACAATCGCATTAATGTGCAAGTATTTGTTTTCTTCCGGCCAAGTACCGAAAATTATTTTTCTAGAGCCATCTTTTATACAATACATAGACTCTGTGGCATATCTACATTTTCAACATATTCCTATATACATTCAAAAATTTGTAAGAGCTGGAACAAATACATTAAAACCCATGAGACCATCTATATATCTTCTCTCCCACAGGAGTTTCTCCTCCTACAAAATTTTTACTATTCCATGTTTATTCTTTCCCCCTTCCCTCCCTCCCTATTCAATACAAGGCACAAAGAGTATACATTATTTCTTACTTGCACAGACATTTAAATACCGTATCAAGCTCAGAAAATTATATTTTTTTATATGGCACACCAGCTTTATTGCTAAGTGTGCTATTTACAAGTTATGGTTACAAAGAAAACTTATTGTTTAATTTAGAAGAAAAAAGCAACAATTCTTGAAAAAAATCCTTGAGTTTACATTTTTTTTAAATTTAGAGCATAAACCTGCCATAATGTTTGGCGTTTTGCTAGATTTTTATTTGCAAAAAACATTTTGCTCCTATATAAGTTATATAATCTGGTCCTAGATAAACTTAATTTTAAAATTAACATGTAGCCATCACATTTATGCCAGAAGCAGATTTGGATCTACAAGGTTTATGCTCCAAAATGCCATTAAGCATTTTATATCATGCTTTCACTTACCTTACTACATTGTTATAAAAATAAAACTAAAAAATTATGGAACTTAAAACTGTGTTTTATACAGCACTAAACTCACATGCAGACCAGAATTAATTCTACAATGTAGTAGTTCATGATGCAGGCATAGCTCTGACCAGGGTAATGGGATAAAATGATGTCTACTAAACTTTTGATGTTGGTATTCGCAGTCCAACAAGTCCTCCTGTAGGATCTCCTTCTGCTGTTTTTTCTAAAACCTGGTTCACAAATTCTGAAGTTTGCCCAGACACTGGCTGTCCTAGAGAAATGAGTAAAAACACATCTTCAGAGTATTACTAAGAATATATATGTCCCTTGCTCTTTATTACTTACGAATTTAAGCTTTGCCAGTGTCTAATAAGATCAAACATGATCTTTTGAACTCTTGAATGAAAGGGAGGATATAAATCAAATAAATAAGGGTAAAAGGTGAGTTATGCTATCTGAGCAACCAGTGCTCAAGATTTAGAAATAATAAACAGGGAGGCTTTTTTTTTTTTTTTACTGCTTATAAATGGTACTGCATTTGCTGTTCACTTACCAAGAGTATCTTTAATAAGTATATCAAGCTTCTGATTCATATTTGTTACTCTCTCATCTTTAGGATTCTGCACTCTATTCACAATTTCTTGTTTGATAGAATTGATCACAAACAGCAGGTTATCTGCAAAAGAGACCAAGCAACAGTGTAAGCCCATCCCAGTGCAGTTTTTCTGAGAAGGAAGAATACATCTATTATGTAAAAGTAATTTTATACCATTGTTCCATCTGAAATTGCCACATTGATATACAGTAACTAATAAAACTACATTAATGCTGAAGACAGAACTCATAAAAAGTAATACAGAAAAAAGGTATACTAAAGATTGAAAGGTAGAGGGTTTTTTTAAAGAAAAGATCTTTGTATGTAACAAACATTAATATGGATGCCAGACAAGACTCTGTGGTAGAAGCTCCACAAGTGGGACACCCTAAACTACAATGCCCCCCCCCCCCGCTCCCTGGCAACTATAGTGCCAACAATTTCGTATATGTTATTTTTTTTA